AATGCAGGGCTGTAAACGTGGCCCTCAAGTGAGAAAGCACAGCTCTTCTCGCAGGGGATGCGGAGCAGAGACCAGGGCTGTATTTTCCCTCATGGCTTCCCGTTAGGAATCAGCCTGGGCCGGGTTAGAGGCAGGCTCATGAAGGGTTCTGCCTGTCCCTGACTGTCTCTCCCTGAGAAACCGAGCCCTCCACTTTCTGTGTCTGGGGTGGAATATATTTACCTTCACATGGGTATGAGGGGGGCACACCCATGTGCTTAGGGGGGAGTGCAAGATTTTGCTCTTACTATTTCCTTTCCAGGGCAAAATGGACAGGGAGTGCTTTTCTCTATGGAGCCCATTCCAGCACTTTCTCTGGGGGTAGCAAGAAAGGCAATGTGGTAAGACACCCGAAAATCAGGAAGACAACAAAGACTTGAACTTTCTAGAGTGCTAAACCCAAAGCTCAGGCTGACAGAGGCAGCTTGAAGGCAGGTATTATCTATCTGCTTTCTTTGGGAGAAATTCAGTGTATGTGCAATCGCATCTAACATACCCAGGCTTGTGGGCTATGTCTATCCTCTACCTGGACAATGCAAGTTCCCGTTACCTTTCATGTGATTTTAGGGGTAAAGGAAATGCTCTGCATGGCACTAATGCACCCACACACCTGCATACCTACACACGCATTTGCATACACAAACACCTGCATACACATACTTGAACACACACACACACACACACACAACCTGTACACACACACACATGCATACACACACATTTGCATACACACACGCATACTAAAATGTGTTTTTACACATGCACACTGCATACACACACACCTGCACACACACAAACCTGAATACATACAGTGTCTGATTACTGGAGGCCTACAATTAAAATTGCATTCCTTTAAGTATAAACTTTCAGCTATCAGATGAATAAGGTCTGAGGTGGTAAAAACATGGTGATTGTAGTTGATAATGCTGTATTGTATAATTGAAATTGGCTAAGAGGGTAGAACTTAAATATTCTCACATGCACACAAAAGGTAACTATGAAGGGTGATGGAAGTGTTAATTAAGTAGATGGTGGGAATCCTTTCACAATATATATGAATATCAGGTCACCATGATGTACGTTTTTAATGTCTTATAATTTTATGTCATTATACCTCAATAAAACTAAAATAAAACAAAAACAAGCAAACAATGACAAAAATAGAATTACATTACTTTAGCCTAAGCCCTGGATTCCTGTTAAGCCACTGAGAACCTTGGGATTTTGGTAGGGCATATTTGGGTGGGAAAAGGCTGGGAAAGAGAACCTAGGGATCTTGGGGTTCCAGAGTGGGCTTTGCAGATGTCTCACCAAGAGGTAGGGTTGAGGTAGACTGTCCAGAAGAGAAAGCAATCTTTGTTTTAGACATCTGTGAAGGGTCTGCTAGCTCTGCATTTTGGATTCCTTTTAAAACTGGAAGCATTATGACATATTTTTAACAATATGTCATAAAGGTTTCACTTTTCGATGGAGATTCCTGTTCCTCAGAATCTGGGGAGGGTTGTGCATGGGCTTGGGATGTGGGCAAAGTTTGTAAGTATGTTTGAGATGCATCTTCTGGAGAGAGACCATAGCTTTCACCAGGATCATGAAGAGGTCCTGAGGAATTGGAGCAGAAGACCTGGCCACATAGTCTGAGCCTCTGGAACAGTCCAAGTTCAGGGTCTGTGGCGTTTTCACCAGCTCGCTGGGGCACAGATAGGGACAGGCCTGTTACTCTGGGATGTGCCTGCCCATTCGAGCTGTGGAGGGCCCTCCTGCCATTCCACGAACTCTGCCCTTCAAAGATTTGCTTGTTTCTTTTGGGCTAACCAAAGAAAATGTTTTATTTTCTGTCCATAAAAGTAGACATTTAGAAATGTAGAAAAATGTAGTGAAGAAAATAAAAATCCATCATAATCTTACTAATGAATTAATCATTGTAAACATTTGAGATAGCCCCATCCAGGTTTTTTCCTTTTGTCTTTATAAGAGAGAGTTGAGATCATAGTGTGTCTATGAATGGAAGCCTTTTCACTTAACATTACATCATAATCATCTTGCCTTCCATTAAAAAGTCTTTATAAGCATCATTTTCAGTGGCTGCACAATATTCTATTGTATGGCTGTACTATAGTGTACTTACCCCTTCTTCTAGTGTTGGGCATTTGCATTGTTCCCGGCTTTTTACTTTAATAAATAATGCATGAGAAGCATCTCTGGCAAGAAGCTGTGCTTACATTTTGGATTATTTCTTTATGATAGATTCCTAGAAGTCTCTTTTGATTTTTGATGATACTGTTTATTAAGGTGTTGCTGAGACCTATCCATAAAGTGGGGATGTCGCAAAAGACTGTGGGCAGAGAGGAGGGGCCAAGCATCACTGGATTCCTGCGAAACGCATGCCTTGCCTCTAGGTGCTGTGGGCTCAGTGGAAGACCCTGCCGTTGTCCTTGAGGAACTTACTGTGCAGTGTGAGCCCACAGCATACATAAGTAGCCTAAAGGAAGAAATGCCTGTATCTCAGAACTGTGGGGGAGCCATGCATGAGTTCAGAATGGGGCAGAGGTCTACATGTATGTTCATATTGCATTTTCTGGAGAGGGAGTCTAACTTTCATCAGAATCTTTTCATCTAGAGAGCTGCAAAGAATTAACCATCCAATGATCGTTTGGGGCGGGGGAGGGGGGGGCATGAGTTAAATTTCCCAATTAATTTTTTCTTTTACTATTTTATAGTTTTTATAACAGAAATAAGATAAACTTTTTTTCATGTGCCATTAATTTGACCTATTGAGCGTAACTAGCAGATGGCAGTCAGGGGTCCTGGTTTTGGGGACCTTGAGGTAGGATATAGGAGAGGCCACAGCACAGCCTGTATCCAACTGGTATGAGGCAGATTTGGGCAGCATTTGTCACCTGCCCCTGCAGTGGCCTACCAATGCACTTACATGTAAATCTGCTCCTGCAAACATGAGCTGGTGTTACATGAGCCTAATGCCTACAGAATCATATTATTGGAATGTTAGGTTATGCAGGTGCATGGCATTTCTGGTTGCTAAACCAGTGCTTCCTCATCCCTCTGCTGAAGCCTGGTTGCCGAAAGTTAAAGGTGCTTCTTATTGCTAACTCATGGTCATCAGGAAGCCACCAGCTTTCCTAATAAGGAGATGTCACTGTGCAGGCTCCGGGCCTTCCACTCAGGGCCAGAATGAGATGTGCACATGGAAATTCATAGCCACTGATTGTATTTATTTTCTGCACTCTGTTCTGACCGTGTCTGTTGTTGGACTAGTTCTTCCAATGGGGAGAGAGAGCCGTGTTCCAGGCTGTGGCCTTGTCCAGGTGTCCACAGAACCCTAGCTCAGCTCACCTTGTGGTGAGATTTCATGGATTTTGCCAAGTCGGGTGTCCACAGTCGGGACAGGCATGGATGTGTGTGTCTCATCATCCCACAGCCCTGCGGTATCTCCCATGTCAGTGTTAAGAGTGCCCGGGTCCCCATTAGAGGGTCTATGTGCAGAGTATGACTGGACAACAGGGCCCTACCATGGGTAGCCACATGTCTTGACAGAAGCTCCCCAAGTCATTTTTTTAAAATGTGTTTTTACTGATTTCAGAGAGTAAGGAAGAGGGAGACGGAGAGGGAGAGAGAGAGAGAAGCATCAGTGATGAGAGAGAATCATTGATCGGCTGCCTTCTCTATGTCCCACACTGGGGATGGAGTGCTGACCGGGAATTGAACTGTGACCTCCTGGTTCATAGGTTGACGCTCAACCACTGAGCCATGCTGGCTGGGCTCCCTAAGTCTTTTTACCTAGCTTCCTGGCTTGCTAACAAAATTTGTATAATTCTGTTATTGTTGTTGTGTTATTCTGAGTTCCAGCTGGCTGTTCCTCCAGGTTCGGCTGAGTTGTTTTTCTTCCTTGACTCTTGGCTTCTGCAGAATGAGTCCCTTTCTCCTTCTCTGTCACTCTCCTAGCCCTTTGTTTTCTCTACACCCAGAACCCATTCTCCTCAAGGGCTTGCGTCCACCTGCAATTTATGCACTCATTCAAGTCATCACATAAGCCTAATTCTTATTGGGCCTCAGCTCCTTTGGCCAAAAGCACTGAAGCTCACTGTGAGACAGATGGCAGTCAGGGAGGAACTGGTCACTGCCCACCGGCAGATAGTATCTGTTCTTCCCATAAGGAGGCAGAAAACATTCAACTAGCACATCTGTGACCGCTGCCAGCCCTAACCCATAATGCACAGTAAACAAGCAAGGTAACTCTCAAAATATAATCCTTTGTTGGTGGTTGTGGGGGAAGCAGCTAAAAGCTTAGGCTTTTGAAGGATATCATTAAGAAATTCTTCCTCATACTTAATCAGAATGACCTTGGCCTTGATTTAAGCTTATTTATTCTGGTTTTGTCCAGGTAGAGACCTATTCTTTTCTCTCCATATGATATTTTTAATAATGCATTTTAAATAAAATTTTATTTTACATAAAAAATAAAACTTAAAGCATTTCCTATGTAAGATACTTATAATAAAACATATTTCATATTTGTAAAAAGATTATATTGCATAATTTAACAGAACTCATGTTCTATATTTAAATATTTTAAAAATACCTTATAAGTAACATATTTGTATATATATAAAATATTAAATGAGGTAATTTTATATTTTAAACAAAATATAGGCTATTTAAAATGTTTCAATAAATCAATATTTAAATCATTGCTGATGGTTTCTACTAAAATTAAGTAAATCAACTTAGCTATTTAATAATTGTATATAAAATATTGAAATATATAGAATATATTATTTTTGCATAAATAAAAGGTGTTATAAAGTATTTCATTGTAATAAAGATACCTGATTCGGTCAGGTTACCATTCCAAGAATTAACATTTGGGGGCATAGCACCCCCAACCACTCTCCGCTCCCTCCGCATCCAGCGCCCTGATCTGCTGTTTTTCCTCCCGCCCGCAGGCATAGGCAAGAATGTCATCTGCGACCGCACGGCCACGCCGCTGGACGCCTTCCGCATGATGTCGGCCGCCCACTACTACCCCAAGCTCATGAGCATCATGGGCAACGTGCTGCGCTTCTTGCCGGCCTTCGTGCGCATGAAGCAGCTCATCGAGGAGGGCTACGTGGGCGAGCTGCTGGTGTGCGAGGTGCAGGTGCACAGCGGCAGCCTGCTGGGCAAGAAGTACAACTGGAGCTGCGACGACCTGATGGGCGGAGGCGGCCTGCACTCGGTGGGCACCTACATCATCGACCTGCTCACCTTCCTCACTTGCCAGAAGGCCCTCAAGGTCCATGGGCTGCTCAAGACCTTCGTGAAGCAGACCGACCACATCAAGGGCATCCGCCAGATCACCAGCGATGACTTCTGCACCTTCCAGATGGTGCTGGAGGGCGGGGTGTGCTGCACCGTCACCCTGAACTTCAACGTGCCCGGAGAGTTCAAGCAGGACGTGACCGTGGTGGGCTCTGCCGGGCGCCTGCTGGCGGTGGGCACGGACCTGTACGGCCAGCGCAATAGCGCCCCGGAGCAGGAGCTGCTGCTGCAGGACTCCACACCTGTCCGCAACTCCCTGCTGCCGGAGAAGGCCTTCAGCGACATCCCCTCGCCCTACCTGCGGGGCACCATCAAGATGATGCAGGCCGTGCGCCAGGCCTTCCAGGACCAGGACGACCGGCGCACGTGGGATGGCCGGCCGCTCACCATGGCTGCCACCTTCGACGACTGCCTGTACGCCCTGTGTGTGGTAGACACCATCAAGAGGTCCAGCCAGACGGGCGAGTGGCAGAACATTGCCGTCATGACGGAGGAGCCGGAGCTGAGCCCCGCCTACCTGATCAGCGAGGCCATGCGCCGGAGCAGGATGTCCTTGTACTGTTAGCGCAGCCTGGGGACCTAAGCGCAGACTAAGGCCTTCTGCGTGGGGCCCAGAGGGAAAGGTGTGGGAGAGAGGTATCATCCAGGAGTGTGGGGATGGGGAGGTGGAGGGACAATGGGAACAGGTGGTATCTGAGGTGAACCGCAGCCCAGGTGAGGGGCCCAAACAAGACTGTCAGGATGCTGAGTGTTCAGAGGGCCTGCCTTTCCTGAGATCATCCCTGCTGGGCATTTGCATGGGAGGGAGGAGGTTTAGCTGCCTCTGCTGCCCTTTACCGTGAGGAGCAAGGGGGGTGCCTTTCCCCTTCACCTCATCCACTCCCCATACCTTGGCCTCCTTTGCAAGCCAAATGCTCCGGTGAGGTCAAGCTCAGTTGGTGTGGCCTCCCTATTCTGCCCCCCATGAAAAATCTCGCAGGAGAAGGCACATCCTCCTACGTCCACACAAGCCTGTTGGCCTGGGGAAAGGTGGGGGTGCAATGGGCTACTGAGAAAGTTCAAATTCCAGGAAGCCGCTTTAAGTGTCTGGAGGCAAAAGTACTTGGCAACGAAGTGTACAGCTTTCTTGATTGATTGGTCTTCCTCATAGGAAGCAGGAGGGAGTGTCTTCCCAATTGGCCCGCTGCCCTTCACTTGGCCTGAGGTGGGGGTAAGGGAGTGCTGGGAATGCCAGCAGGGACAGGGCTTCTTTAAGCCAAAATGAGAGAGCAAGAGCATAACCCGCATGGAAACAGACGGGGCAGAGAAAAGCATATCCCTTTGAACTCCTCAGCAATTAAAAAACTGCAAGAAGCCATCTTATAACAAGTACTTCTGGTGGCGAGTTGAGTGTAAGAGGGATTCCATGCTGAAGTGTCGAGGTTGTCCTTTCACCTGGCTCCCCAGTTAAGGCCAAGGAGTCAGGAGGAGGTTTGGGCCTGCCTGCAAGCTTATAGCTGCCCTCAAGAGGTGGGGCAGCTGCGTGCCCCAGTGTTGCACTGGGTGTTCCCCCCAGAAGGGAAAGGAGCCAGCCCTGGATTTGTGTTCCAACACCCATGCCTCCTACAAGCCAGGGAAGGGCTTTTAGGAGTTTCACGCAGCTCTGTGGAGGGATGTAAAAGGCAAGTCTTCAGTTCCACTCAGATATAATCCACTTCCCTTAAAAAGAAGTAAAGGCTCTTTTCTCTAGCTTTGACCTTTGTTTTCATGATTCTGGTACCCCCCCCCCCAAATGTAACAGGTGTTAAACAAAAGGACAACAAGGAACATAAGTTTCAATGTTTTTAAAATGGGGTTTAGAGGCCTCTCAGGTGAATCTTCATGGAGGATTGAGAAGCTGATGTTGGAAAAAACATTCTTCTACTCCTTGGTCTCTTGTCTCTCTTGTCACCCTCTGCTTACAGAGCTTTCACTGGAGATGGCGAACTGCAGGCTCAGAACAGGCAGCCAAAAGGGAACAAGCTGACACACACACACATATGGGTTTGTCAATGCTCACTGCCACCAAATGTCACCAAAATCGCTCTTAAAAACTCAAGATAAGTCTTGAAAGAAAGGCCAAGTCAAATACATTTTGAAAACAGAATTACCCTTTTATCTTGTCTTAGTCCTTCATCCCAGCAAGACATTTGTCAAGGTTGGATGTAGAAACTAGGACTTGTTCACAGCTCACACAGCTGAGGCTCAGGCTTCTCTTCCTACGCCTGGCAGTAGAGCTAGAAGGGAACTTAAGGGGTCAAGAGTTCACTCCCAGGCTCTGCCAAGGCAGAATCTGAAAACAAACAGTGTCATCAGTTGCAGCCTCCATGCTTCTCCCAGGTCAATCTACTGTGCAGCCCAGGCTGTCCATGGGTGTGGTGTGGCTGTGCAAGCATCATGGGGATCGTGGTCATTTTCTAGCTCCAAGGAGCAAGGACTGCCTCCCTGGAAACATCTCTCTACTTTGGGGGCCTCACAACAGTCAGGTTAGTCAGCCGAAACTCTCCAGGTACCTTCTAGTCCCTGATGTGTTTTCAGACTTCACGATGACGTGTTCAGAACTAGAGGTTTGGTAGAATGGAAGTCTCGCAGTAATAATCTGAGCAGAGGGTCATGCCATGGGCTGTTTTGGTTCAGGTTCTCCTGAATTGCCCTCTGGACAGCTTTTGTGGAAACTGAATGGAACTTTTTGTGTGTGTGTTTTTTCCCTGTATTTTTTGTTGTTGCTTTGTTTTTGTTTTTTGGGGGTGGGGTGGGTGGGGAGTGGTGGGGTCCTAGCTAGCCTGAAAGGCTGTGATTAAGGATGAAGGAAAAGGAAACTAAATGACTCTATGGGCCTCATTTTTCTAAGTCATTTATAATCTAGGGATTTCTCTGGGGTTTTAAGTTTCTGTACTTACCAAATTACTTGGGAGTTATTTTCTCCTGAAGGTGTCTGAGCTCTGCGAAAAAATATTCAGTGTCTAAAACAAAAATTCTTCTTTGAGGCTAGGGTATATAGAAAGAATATACTTTTTAAAAGCATGAAAAATATTTTAGTAAATGTAGTCAAATGTTACCTACTGACATGCATGTAGTAGGTAAATGCAGGAATGAGAGGAAGAAAGGACTGAGATAGTTAATTTTTTTTTAATACAAAAATTGTAGTAAATGGGGTTAAGCTGCTTCTTTAGTGCTCCTTTTGCGCCTGTCCTACCACTAGCAGAGACTTAATTGCACTATGAAGCTAAAATCTCAAGCTTTTAACAGAGCTTGCTGAAACAAAGCCCAGCATCGAACAGCACCCTTGGGGGTCTGGGTACTATCAGCTGACTTTGACCCTGGACAAGTCCCAGCAATAATCCAGCTCTTTCCACTTTTTTAGTGTTTCAAGGAGCTGGTGTAATAGGGGCACCACTTTCGGGTCATCACACTTAGTCCCATCCTTGTGTGGATGCCTCTGCTGCTGGAAGTTTTGGCTCATGCCACCAATTGCCTCTGCTGATGTCTCAAATTCCAAATTCTGAGAGGGGGGTAGGCCAGGGGTTCCTACATGGCATCCACAGTGTGTGGACATGCTCTGGGCTTGTCAGATCTTTCTGTTTTCCTCTGGAGAGAGAGAGTCCATGACCACTCTCAGCTTCTTCATGACTCTCCCTGTAATAGGAGAGGTGGAGCAGGATCCACAGAAACTCCTTAGCCTACCCGGCAGCAAATACCGTTGTGTCGGTGTATCTGGACCCTGGCGGTAGTCTTGGCCAACTCCAGCTCGTGACAAACTTCTCCCAGAGCCTTTTTCCTCTGCAGAGCCAATGAGTATCTCCTGTGCTCCACCATTTCTTGATATCCATTGTGTGCAGGGATTTTAAGTTCATTATCTCATTTAGTCCACAAAAACAACCCTTTAGTACTGGGGATTGTTACTCCCATTTTACATGAGGTAATCAAGGCTCTGAAAGAAAGAGGAACTTGCCAGAGTCACACAACTATGAAGCAGAGACAGGGTGACCCCATGGTTTTACTGTCAGCCCTGGCCGCCCGCCCAGGCAAGCTTGTGATTGCCACACTAGGCATAGGGCCACCCCCAGGACATGGTCTCATTATTCCTCTGCTCACTGCTGGTGTAAACAAAAAAGGGCGCAAGAGTCGAGATGCAACAGTGTGACACTTTAATAGCCTAAGAGCCAGACACTTCAGTGGTCCTCCCAAGGGCTCCAGAAACAGGGACTGTGATGTGGGGAAGGAAAAGGTTGGTAGGCCCCCACTTCCCACTGTTAACTAATATGGTCACTCGGATATGGTACTGGCTGCACCTCCCGACTCCAATGAGAGCACTTGAGCCCATCACCTCTTAAAGCAGCATTGGGGTGGGGGTGGGAGGAGGAGGGAGCTTCACTTGTCCCCGAAGCTGGACTCAGGGCTGTCCCCTGAAACACAGCGTTCCCCCCTGCACACTTGCCCGCTAGGGAGGGAATGCCTGCTGCTGGTAAAGACAAAGCCACAGCGCAGACGCAGACAGCTTTCCTTCCGTTGTCCTCCTCCCTGTTCTCAAAATTGAATTGAAATGTGGGGCTTTGATCGTTTTTTAATCATGAGCTCTCCAATGTCATGGCCTCTGTTCCATAAACTTCAGGACTTTGATGGCCAATAAACGTGGGCAGTGGGTGGAACAGGAGTCCTAAGCCAGATCTGTATCTAGGAGAGGGGTGTGTGTGTGTTGGGGGAAGCAGG